TATTTATTTATTTATTTATTTATTTAATATGAAGTACTACTACTATCCACTCACTCTGCAATATGAGATTTAGATGAAAAATATAAACATATCTCTTATACTTTAATATTGAAAATCATTTTGATATCATTTGACTTTTATTTACTTTACTTAATTATCAATCAACCTTTTATTTTGCTATATTTGATTACTTAAATCGAAATACGCTTAACCTTTTGCCAAAACTAAGGAAATCTCGGTTGAATGCGTCTTGATCCGCTCGTTTTTTGCCAAAATTCATAAAAGTTCGCTCAAATGGTTGCATTCTTTTACCGAAATTCATGAATTCCCTATCAAAATTATTTTTTTTTTGTGGTACTTCCTCAGTCCATCTATTCTTCGTCGTCAGATCATTCCAGTGATTACTTACGGAACGTTTGCCAAAATTCATAAAATCACGAGAAAACTGAAAGTTAACACGCAATAATTTCAACGTAAAAGTGAATTCAAATTTGCTTACACAGTGTAGTATTAAAGAATTGAAAAATTATTCAAATAATTAATAAGTGACATTGAATAAGTGTTTAATTACTGTTCTATTTCAAATATGTGAATCTTAACTTCAAATTTTTTACAATTGTAATCTTTGTTAAATATTAATCTTAGAGCTTTTTAATTTTTAATTTTGAGCCATTTAAAAGATTATTTGAGAGAAATAATGAATAAATTGAAGCTAAGGCTCATTCTTCAGAACTCTAAGAAATAGACTAAGTATAAATTCCTTAAATATACTATTTTTACCTAAATTTTGATAACTGCCTATCAATTGTTTTCAAATATTATTTGCTGTAATTTCAAATGCTTTCCAACAAGTATTTTGGGTTCGTACCGGTATTAATTACAAATTTTTTTAATGAAAAATGAACTCACAGAGATTTATAATTTGATCTTAAATCTAAAATTTAGCTGACCTATAACCATTTCAAGATGTTATAAACCGCATTTAATTACTATCTCTCAAATGCAGTCTCACAAGTCGAAATATACATTTTTCTTGTGATTAGAAGGAAAAAATGATATAAATTTGAATTATAAAATACAAAATTTGGGTATGAAAAAAGGTAAAATTTATTAAACTTTGAAAATTTCTATGCAAATACACGTACTTACGTCAATCTTAAAGAGTAAAATAATGCTGAAAAACTAACAAAAAAAATAATAAGAAGTAATTTTTTTTTAAATTAAAAGCTAGCTAAGCAATAAAATAGCGAATAACTTAAAAAATAGTACTGAAAGAAAGAATAGTGATGAAAAATAGTAATGAATGAAGAATGCAAAAGAATCACTTCATTGTTTCCACGTTTGAAGTTTGGCGTGTCATCGTACTGTAATATCACGTCAGGAACACGTTTACCAAAGTGCAAGAAGTCTCGTTCAATTTTGCCGTTACCATCTGTGAAGTAATATAAAAAGGTTAAAATTTGAAGTTATTGAATTTTTATTATTGCTGACAAAAAGATTAATTTGAAATTGTTTAATTACTTTAAACAATTTTGTTGAAAATATAAAAAGAGTTAAATTTTATTGTACTTAAAAAAAATCTTTTTACTTGACTTAAACTATTTATTTCTTCAAGTCAAAATATCTTTATATAACATTTATAAATAGTTATTAAAACTAACCTCCACATTTTATTTATTATTTATAAATAGTAACAGCAGTTTTATTTTCAATTTTAATTATTCATGTTGTCTAAATTAAATATGATTGTCCTTGCAGTTGATCAAAAGGAATGTTATTCATAACTGATCATTTATTAAAAGTGTAAAAGATCAACGCTAATTATCAACTGCTGCGAGTAACTTATGTTATTCTGGCACTTTTATATTGCATAATATTTATTATCAATTAATTTATTAGTAAATTTTCGATCGAAATTTTTAATTTTAATAATTTGCGAACATTTTGAATATAAATTGTAAAATATAAAATTTGTTACCGTAATGTTCTGATTGAACAACAAATGTAAATGATAAAAATGCAAAAATTGCAGTAATTGTTTCCATTTCAATCTTGTTGACAGCTTTTCTCACCTAAACAATTTTAAATTTTATTAAAAAATTTTACGTAAAATAAAACTACGTGAAATATTGAGCGAGAAAAATGCATAATAATATATTAAAAAATGTAAACAAATAAAAAGTTTGCACAATAATCAAAACAAGTTCAGTTTTGGTTTACAATCATTATT